TTTTGAAAGGCTATACTTAATATCTTCCCTGGTTAGGAATGACCACCATCAATCTACTTACCTTTCTTATCATTCTTCAATGAAGTTGAATACATTTCTCCATCTTGTAAGGAAGATAATGTTGCAAAGATACCCTAAACACATCTTGGATTTTATGTGTGCTTATTTCTCTCAAATATAATCTAGGTTATTCCTGGATCTGGATGAAGAGATATATACTTAACTATGAAACACATGTTTATTGTGTCCTATACACATTATAGGTGCTTTCAATCTAAAAATTGTAAGCCAGTCTTTATTTAACACTCAGGAAAAGTCTTGTAGATAAGTATTATTCTAAGAAGTACAACATCATTTCATCTTCCAAGGTAGCCCCTACTCAGTCATTTTACACATATAGAAACTAAGGCATGAGGATTTTAATCACCACGCCCATAGTCTCATAGCCCATAGGGGTGAGGAAGGCATTCTCATTTTTTTCACAGAAAGCCTATAACCGCATCCTCCCATAGACTTTGAACTTTGCTAAAACAAGGCTAGTCTAGGTTAATTTCTAGTTGGGCTGTGCTTCTATTCTGGAGAAAGGTTGGCAGTCCGGTCATGTGATCTTTAAGGGTACTATATTCCAAATGCTTATTTCCTTCAGTGTTGTTTCTTCACCAGTTGATTTTTAATTGCTATGATGAAAAAAATCCAGATTTTCATGATACTATCCTTTGCTAGAAATTAAAACCCCCAGTTAGGACATGGACGGCCTACCTGTTTCATGACAACTGAACAGACTTGACAGCCTGGACTATTACCAACAGGGCAGCTTCCCCACTCCGGGGCTTAGGCATTGTGTTGGGCATATCATTCGCAATTGTGGATAAATACAGAGGAAGAAAGCTTTTGGTTTTTGTGTCAGGATCCCATTCTTCCTCTGCGAAGTTGATTTGGTAGAGAGCTGTGGATTTGGGGAACCAGATCAAACAAATCTCTTCATAGTACATAAGAATGGGGCCTGTTGCCACTGTGGCGCAACATCCCCCTGCTCCATAATAGCAGGTGCTGGTGGCTGACTTTAGAATAGTTAATGAAATTCATTACTCATTTGAGAGAAAGAGTATGAGTAAAAAGCACTATAAAAATCCAGTCCTGTTCAGGGTAATCTTGGCACATACCTTATCCCGCTTAGTGTATTTCCAAAAGAAACAGGCCCATTAAACTCAGGAGGGACAGCTCGATCCTTGTTAAAGCCATGAATCGATGCTGCTCAGTTCCCAGCTCTACTCAGTGTGTCTGCAGAGAGCAAGAGTGGGAAAAGAACTGATCCCACCATGCATGAGTATGCCCTTCTCTTTGAACAAGATGCTGAGCAGACAGGTCCCTTGCTTTAGAGACAACTGCTGCCTGTCTATTCTGGGGCTCTCGCCACCACAGACACAGAAAGTCTCCATGCAGGCTTTGTCAAATCTCAACTTCTTAGGGCTGTGGAATCTATTAGTGTCATTTTGGGTTGTTTATAACAGTCTCCTGTATCCCAGACTGACTTTCAACTCACCAACCTAGCTTAGGATGACTTTGAACTCCTGTTCCTTCTACGTCAATCTCCCGAGTGCTAGGATTAAAGGTGTTTATCACCACATCCAGTTTATACAGTGCTAAAGGTGAAATTTATAGCATCACACATGCTAAGCAAATACTTTACCAACTAAGCTACATCTCCTGCTACCTCAATGCAACTCACTTGCTAAATTCATATGCAAAAAGCTACAAAAGGTGGAGTAGCTTGAGTGATACTCATTAAGAAAATCCCTGGGAAGACAAAAATTTACTAATGTATCCCTCAGTCAAAGCTTAGTGAGTAGATATTCTAGATTTGAGATTTCCCCATTTCAAAATAATTTCAATGCAATATCTGAAATAGGAAAGGCCTGGGGGATATCGTTCTTGAGTTCCCTGATGAGTTCCCTATGAACTCCTCATAGATTAAGCCAGATACATAAAAATGTCTTTCCAAATATTTGCAATCCATACCTTTTACTGATCTATCAATAATAGCTTACAGTTTGGTTTGTAATTTGTTGTACCAATAACCTTAGACACTGGAACTCTGATGTGCCTGTTGTAGTAATTCAAATAAGACTAACTTTGGCTACAGCTTGCTTTTCAGTGAAAGGTCTTTTTTGAAAGATCCTTTAGCCTCTAATTTCTTCTTTGTGCATGGTTGTAGGGGATGCAGATGTGTGTGCAGGTATATATGAACATGCATGCATGTGCATGTATTCAGGTGTATATGAACATGCATGCATGTGCATGTATTCAGGTGTATATGAACATGCATGCATGTGCATGTATTCAGGTGTATATGAACATGCATGCATGTGCATGTGTGCAGGTGTATATAAACATGTATGTGTGTGCAGGTGTATATGAACCTGTGTACCTGTGTGTGTGAAAGACAAAGGACAACCACAGATGTGATCCTCAGGAATGCTAAGCATCTCCTTCGAAAGCATCTCCTTTGACACAAGGTCTTTCACCAGGGCTCAACAACTAGGGCAGACATGGCCAGTGAGCACCGAGGATCCTCCTGGCTCTGCCACGCTGGTGCTGAGATGGCGAGTGAGCAAACACCATTATGCCCAACACTTTTAACATAAGTTCTGGGTACCAAACTCAGGACCGAGTGCTTGCAAGGCAAGCACTTTATTTAGTAAGTCAACCCCTTAGCCCATCTTCTAAGTTAATTTGCAAGCTCTGTACTAATGAGACATAACATTTAAAATGAAACAAGATCGTAGACTCCCACTCCCGACATGTTGCTTCTCTTCAAGCCTCTGGGTTGCTATACACTCACACTCCTGTTCACACTGGGGTGAGAAGGGAAAAAGACAAGGTGTTAGCACCCACTTCATGGGGCATTGCAGTGAGCACTGACCAACATTGCATACTTAAAAGACAAAACTTGTGAAGGAGAGGGATATAAATAACCCACCCAGTCTATGGCAAAAGGGAGAGCTTCCTGATGGGTTTCATCATACATTTTTATTTTTATTTTATGTGTTTCATATGCAGGGGGAGGGAGAGCGAGCAAGTGAGAGGGGGCACAGAGTCATTGTTTTATGATTGAAAGGTCCAAAAAGGTAGTTTTTCATTTAAATTCTGGTTGTGGCAGGGCCAGGGATAATATAGAAAAACTGGGACCTGAGGCTGCCCTGCTTAAAGACATTCAAGGCCATTCTTAAGATGGACCTCAGGAGAGGGCTTAATGGGCAAAGTGCTTGGGGCTCAAGCCTGAGGCCCTGAGTGGGATTCCCAGCACTCGCACCAAGTGTCTTTAACCTTAGCACTGAGGAGACAGAAGCAGGGGGATCCTGGGAGCTCACTGATCATCTGGCCTAGCCAAAGAGGGACCGCTAGGCTCACTGAACAGCTCTGTCTCGAAAACTAAGGTCGATGGTGATTTAGGAAGATACTGATGTCCACCGCCAGCATCCACTGCGTGTACACAACCCTGCTCATCCTCACGCATGCATACGTTGCACACACAATCCCCAATTTGTGATCCTTGGAGTTAGCTTTTGCCTGAGAAATAAGGAATTTTGAACTGAAAAATAAGTGTAAATGGAAAAGCATCAAAATGCAGCAGACCTAGGAAGAACTTCCAAACTACCACAGAGTCTCTGTAAATTCTACTCCAGATGTGTAGTGTTTTACACCACAGCTCCTTTTCTTCAAACACCCCAAGAGCATTCAGTTTGCTTGATGGGACCTTCCAGAGAGAACACTCACCTAGACAGTTTATTTAAGCACTTAAGGATTTTTGTTTGTTTTTCTTTTAATCCAGATAATGAATGCATATCTTGCTATTGGCCCATGATGTTCACATTTGCTGTTTGTAATATTTGGAAAATCATCAAAACAAATATTGACTGCTATTTTAAGAAGCCCATTAGCAGTTTTTAAAGGATAGATGAAAATTTGGGGGACCATGCTTTACCGAGGTGGAGCATCTAGAGGGAGGCTAGGAAGTGGATAGGGCCGATGATACTGGCATTAATATTTACAGGATCATCTTAGTATCTGGCTTTCATGGTGACCCTTCATGCTTCTAGAAGCCCAACCCCCAAATGCACCTAAGTACAGAGGAGTCTTCTCATTTCATTTGCATAAATATTTCTTCAAAGGATTAGGGGACTCCTCTCATCGAGTCTTGGAGTTTCTGTTTTGTAATACTGTTTTCTTTTTCTTCAGGGAAGAACCCCATTTTTCTCAATTTGTGATCCATGTAGGGTGTGGAACAAACTCATCAACTCTGTAATGACACTTTGCTTCTCCCTCTAGCAGTTATTTTCTATTTGTTTTATTTTATTTTTGCACTGTGGGGAAGCTTGTCAGAGGGTGTACAGCTTCTCTTGGGTCCAGGATTTTAATACCATGTGATTATCTGTACTTTTTTAAGCCCCACCCATTTCCAACACAGTATATCACACAGTCGAGCTGTCCTGGTCTATTAGAGACTGATCCAGCTTCTCTCTGTAGAGGCAACAAAGCTCAGAGCCAATCCATTAATCCTGACATGAGATCCATGCTTCATTGACAACGAAGGCAGCTTGCAATAGTTTGATTCCTAGCAGGGTGCCAACGTTTGCTAACTGACCTCAGTAGAACTCACGAAGTATCTGATTCAGCAGGAGCAGTGAGGACCGTTGTCATAAACTATACTGAGAACATCTATTGCACTTCCATCAGTACAAGCAGCTTGAATTACTCAGGGAGCTGTCAGGTATTTTAGGGTCCCCTCACTTCATTTCAGATATGGAAGTAATCAGTATGTGATGATGTGGCTTCTTTCCCAAATTCCTGGAGTCTGTGAGACCCGAATGGGAAGGACTGGGTGATGGCAACGCCTCCGTGACAGCTAAAATGTGAAACTGGAGCAGTCGCAGGGAAGAAGCAAGATGATATGCGTAACAGTTAACGTAATGTTTTGTTTTGTTTTGTTTTTCCCACAGCAGGAAAAACCCAGACTCTTGGAGCCTTTGGATTATGAAACTGTCATTGAAGAACTTGAAAAGACCTATCGGAACGATCCTCTTCAAGATCTTCTCTTCTTCCCCAGTGATGACTTCTCAGTAAGTCTCCGGAAGTCCTTTAAAATTATCAGGGGCCATAAGTTAGGTTCTGTCTTTCCACATAGATTCAGAAAGTAAAGCCTTCCTGTAGTTGGGTTTTTTTTTTTTTTTTACTCTTTGGGGGCCTGCCACATAGCTCAAAAATAAACACAAGGAGACTTGTTCTTACTTATGGATGCCTGCCTGGCCTTAGCTTGGCTTGTTTCTAGCCAGCTTTTCTAACTTAAATTATCCCATCTCTCTTCTTCTGCATTGTGCTTCTGGGCTTTTTAACCTTTCTGTATTCTATATTCTGTGTATCTGTCTTTTCTCTTACTCCATGGCTGGCTGTGTGGCTGGATGAATGGCTCCTTACACTCTCCTTTCCTTCTCCTTTTCTCCCTCCTCCCTCCTCTTTTTTTTTTTTTTTTCTTGGAGCCTAGATTTCTATTTATTCTCTCTGCCTGGCAGCCCCACTTATTTCTCTCCCCTGCCTACCTATTGGCCTTTCAGCTCTTTATTAAACCAATCAGCTATTTTAAGCAGGCAAAGGAACACAGCTTTACAGAGTTAAACAAATGCAACATAAAACAATGCAACACATATTTGCAGCATTAAACAAATATTCCACAGCATAAATGAACGTAACACGTTTTAAACTAGTATTCTACAGCACCTTCTTGCTATGGCCAACCTGCTTCATATAATAACAGCAGAAGGTCATTTCCAGACCTAGAATAGGCCCAGGGCTTCCCCGGCTTGGAGGGGTGGAAATGAGGCTCAACGGTGAATGCAAAGACCCAGAGCAGCACATGGTACTGCCTGAGACCAGTTGGTGCTCATGTTCCTGCCAACATCCAAAGCTCTTCCTTTGACTTAGAGTACCTCTTCCCTCAGACTATTTCTAACTAGAAGCTTCTGAGACATAGAAATCAACCAGGGGAACAAGTATAAGTCTAACAGTGCAAAAGAGGAGATTATTTTTATATTTATTCATTTATTATTCTCTCATATATTACATCCTGACTGCATTAAAACCACCATGAATCTTGGTTGGCCTTTGTTTACGAGATGGTGAGTCTTGGGGTCAAAGCAAGAGCATCTTTGCAGAATGATTTATGATGTGACATGTGTTCCCTTTAGGACAGTGTACACTTATGATGCTCTTGAAATTGGTAGAGAATGAATGAGAAGGAGGGTGATAGCCCAGTTAGTAAGAGCTTGCCATGTAAGCAGGAGGACCTGAATCTATTCCCCCATAACCTACATTAGAAAGTCTGGTGTTAGTGACACACACATTTGCAATCCTGGTGCTGGAAAGGCAGAAACAGAAAGATTCTAACAGCTGGATGGGCGACCTAGCATCAGCTCCAGGTCAGTGAATTAGACCAAGAGAGAAGGAAAGGAAGTTAATATTGAAGTTAAAAAAGATAAAGTTGTGGATGATGAACACCAGCATGTCCCAAGGATTAGGTTCTCTTCCCTGTAGTCATCTGGAGCATTAATGCACTGTTGGTGAATAGCTCTGCAAACAGAGGCTGCCCTGGGCAGTTGGTAACCTTTTCCATTTTTCTCCTAAAACAAAGGTAGTCTCAGGCATGTCAGACTTCAACATTGCAGATGAAAAGGCAGCTGGAGGGTACCCCTGCAGAGCAGGCTGTGCCTGGGGATTTCTCTCTCAGGGAGTGTGGGTCTTGGTTTCCACATTTTACTAACACAGCTTCCATATCCTCTCTCACCTTTGGGGACAGATCTGGCTTCTGGCTTCAAAAGGGTGTTTTGTTTTGTTTTGTTTTTTCCTTCCTTCGTGGATTTAGGAAAAAGAAGCTACATGAAAATTGACAGGTCTGTGGATGTAGCTAAGTTGATAGAAGGCTTGCCTGACCTGAAATGCATGGGGCCCTGCATCTGGTGGAATACAAAAAAAAAAATTATAGAGGAGACAGAGTTAATACTTCTCTGTTCCCAGTGTGGATAACAGCGGAAGAAAGGAGACAGACATGGGCATAGGAAAAAGCAATTCTTTTCCTCTGTTTTTCAGTGTTTTGAAATGGCTTCCACTCACTGTTGGCACATTTTAAGAGAGATTTATCTCTGCAGATCTCATTTCTGTGGTTGGATCAGGCTCTGGGGCTTGGGCTGCAACTTCAAGCTGAACTACCTTCTTCTTCTTTTTTTAAATTCCACATCCTTATTTCGATTCTTCAGTCTCGGGGTAAACTACCCAAAAGCCCTTTCTGTCAGACAGCACCAAATTTCGTGAACCTTGGAGCATCTTTTATTCCAGCTCTGCCACCCAGAAATATGTCAAGTACCACTTGAGTGGCCCTCCACCTCAGACAGAAAGCACGGGTGGATTTCACACTGACTCTGAATTGAACTCCATTTTTGTCATCTTTCCAGCCTCACTTAAACATGGTCTCTAACTGGTTTGTTTTTACCTTTGCCGTCCTTAGTAACATAAACAGAGCCTACAATAGCATATTGCTCTATTTTCCCAATGTGATCATTCCAATCAACTCACAGGACTGTTTTATTATGGGCCTGTTCGAACTCCATGTGTGTTTCCTTATTTCCTCCATAATGATGTTGCAGGGCCAACTAGATGGCGCAGTGAGTAAAGGGGTTTGCTGACAAGCCTAAGGACCAGAGTTCGATTCCCAGGATGCACACAGTGGAAGGAGAGAATACACTCCCACAAGGACTCTTCTACTCTCCTACCACAGCCTCCTCCATCCTCACAGCCACTTTCCAGCCCACTGGAGTAAATACTAGCACAGTTTAACCATGCTATTCTATCACATACCCCTAACCATTTCCTTCATTTATTCAATAAGAATGAGATGCAAAACACTGAATATTAATCATTGTTCTAAGAATTAAGAGGCAGCAATGATTGAACAAAAATATCTTGGTTCTAAGGGCACTGAGCATCTTACTGATATGTGAGGAAAAGATAAGAAAACTAAGTCACAAATTAATTAAAAATATAGATTATTTTATAAGGTAAAAAAAAAACTGAGTCCCGGGAAGAGCTGAATTAGACTGAGTAGTTGGGCAGTCCCTCTGACTAAGTGACATTTGGGCTGAGCTCAGCTTTCTCAAGGAGGACACGAACAGCCAAGGAAGGACTATTTTAGTCTGATAGAACGGTAAGAGCAAGGTTATAATAGCTCTCAGGTCAGGCAGGTAAATCGATCAGAGAGTAGTCCAGGACAATGTTGCCCAAGAATGAGAAAGCTTTTGTGTCTTTTTCTAAATGCGAGCAGTGAGACATTGACCTGTTCCTAGAACAAATGACTAGAGTTTACTATTAACAAAACATGTAGCCTCTTTGTAATGGGGCTTGGAAGGCACCACAGGCCAGCTGGGAAAAAAGCACCCAATTAGTACGCTCAAGAGATATGCAATGGCCTCTAATTTTATTACCAGAAAATGACATTTCCTATCAGTGGCTGAATTTTCATTTGTGCTAAGTAATTGGTGGTGGGTAGTATTGAACACTATATCAGCACAAAATTGCCAGGAATTTCTAGTAAAAAGTCTGATTTTTTTTTCTCACTCTTTCCTGCCCTGTTTTTCTCATTCTTGCCCTATGCATTTTGGCTTGGAAACCTAGATCCCACGGGTAGTATGCTGCCTATTTTTGTATGTCCCATGAGCCAAGAATTTCTGATTTTAAATAGTTGACGGGAAAAGCAATCTAGTTGGTAGCAAGTGAAAAGAATCTGAAATGCATGTTCTGGTAGCCACAAACCAAGTTTTATTCGAGCACTTGTATCGGTTCATTTGGTGGTTGCCAGTGGCTGTCCTGGTGCAAAGACAGGGCCCTGAGTGGTTGGGGAAGTTTGAGTTTGGGCATACAGCCCCGTTCTAGTCAACTTTCAGTTGTCGGAAGATATCCTGGCCAAAGACAACCTAGGAGAGGAAAGGATCGTTTGTCTTACAATTTCAGGTTAGTCTATTACTGTGGGGAGGTCGAGGTAGGATCTTAAAGTATGGCATTGACATTCAGGAGCTCATAAATAATAATAAGAATTATATTAATAAATATAGAATAAATGCATGGATCCTCACTTGCTGCTTATGTTTATACTCAGCTAGTTCTCTTCACTCTTGTACAGTTTAGGGTCCAGCGCTTGAAATAGTGCTGCCTTCCATGGACTGAGTCTATCTATACTGATTAATAACAATCAAGACTGGCCCCTGTAGACATCCCACAGGGCCACCTTGATGGAAATCATTCCCATTAAAAATCTTCCCCCAGGATTCTAGGTTGTGTCACATTGGCAGCTAAAACTAACCAGCACAAGCCCTGAAAAAAAAATGTATCTTCTGACTCTTCACACACACACACACACACACACACACACACACTATCCTGATAAAATATAACTGTATTTGTTCTGGACAGCTCTTTCGTCCTCTATACAGAGTATATAAACTTCTCTAAGTCCCCTGCCGTCATCTGCCCCATTCACAGCCTATGTCACTTAGGAGTGTTGCTCACCACCAAAAACATACCACGCTCCTGGAAAGCGTATCATTTCCTTGACTCGACTGGAGCCTTGGGATTCTCTGTAGTGTGCCTAGACAGTTTTCACTCGCCCAAGCAGAAGTGACAATAAAACGACCAGACTAATCTCAAAGGGTGGATGGAGTATGGAGGATCTTAAAACTCCCACCTGTCCTTCTAAGCATCAGTCATCAGGATCCTGCTCTTCGGATTAGAGGACCCAGCTCACTTCTCTGTTTCTATGGTTCCAAGTACCCACGCTTCCTGCCGACATGATTCATTACTTGCTTTGTTTAATCAATATTTATTCAGCACCCACTGGGTGCTGAATATAGAAGAACACTTCCTAGAGGAGTGAGACTGGCAAGGAAAGCGAGTCTTGTGCTTCACCAGCTCCTGCCCTAATATGGATAAAGTAAGGCTGATGAAATTGCTTGGGGTTGAATACCAAGAAGCAGCAACTGTGTCTGGCATTTGATACCCCCAAAAGAAAGTCAGTTTCACC